ATCAAATTCTTTGATCATGGATGTTAAACCGTAGCATAAACGTCTAAATCTTAACAATGCACATTTGATGGTTTATGAAAGCTGCGCTAGAAGTAAAATATCCAAGTCATTGATTCATCATGGCCTTTCCTCTTTCAACAATATAGTCTCTTCCACATCATATATCAACTTGATAGATGAGTTTTCCTTTGAATTTTTTGTTTTTTTTTTGGTATTTGCATAAAGTATTTGAAAGATATGAGTTTATTGTTAGAATATATAAACAAAAGAGTGTTACTCGTATTGTATTTTAATTGAATTGCAAATCTGGTAGGATTTAGAAATTTTTACAAATCTGTACGTTTTCCCTCGGATTTGAATCTTTATATATCTAACTAGAAAAGATCATTTTTTCGAATAATATTTAGTTTTCATAAAACATAAGTTTTCAGTCATATTTTTGTTATTTATACAGATACCATTTATATTTTTGGATACTATACTAAAAATATATATCAAAAGATCATTATGTTTTTTGAAAATTAAAAAAAAATACTAAACCCTAAGTGTGGGGAGCCTTAACCCAAGGGGAGCCTTAACCCAAGGAAAGCCTTAACCCTAACAAACCAAACAAACCTATGGTTCAATTAGTTAAGTTACACTGAAATCTAACTCGTATATGTAGTATTTAGTTTGTTTTTAAATATGCAAACCCTATAGATTCACCACTCTTAACCCGAGGTGAACTCTGGAATCTTAGTTCGACTATAAAAAAAATTGTTCGGATGTAACGCTGACCAAAAAATAAAGTATTAGTTTCATTTGGTTTTTAGTAAAAATTACTACAATAATCATGGAATGTAAGTTCAATATCAACATATATATATATGTCTAAAACTATAGTTTTATTCGATTTGGTTTTAGTGAAAATGACTACACATTCACGATATTGTTACTACAACAATAAGATAAAACATATTATGATATAATACTCTTCTCATACTAATATTTTCTTAGGAATTTAAATATATACAACTTATATTTTTAATGAATAAAAAATTCTAAATTGGTTTTCAGAACTACATAAATTTACAATAAATGTAATCTTTTGTATTTCTCAACTTTCTTGAGATTCCAGGCCATATCCTTGTATTTCTTTTGGATTACGTATGATAGATCAAAAATAATGACACTCTTCTTTATAATTATTGTTTTTGCGTCTTCTTATTCTTTATAATCATCTCTGGCATTAATTTTTGTAGGATAAACATTAAATTTTGATAAAAAGAAGTGTGTAAAAAACACCATAGAACGGAAAAAATGTTAATATATTTATTAAAAAATTATGTTATAATCGAATACTCGTTTTATACTAATAACTAATATTTTTTTTAATGTATAGATGTTTATATTTTTGCAAATTGAAATGTTTTTAAAATTAATATGTGTGACTAAAACCTCATAAATGTACGCAAAACATTTAAAACGATTAAATGTTCAAACAAATTAAAAAGAGTTAAACCCTAAGAGGGGAGCCTTAACCCTCATACTTTGAATAGAACTACGGTTCGATTCATTTTGGCTATAGTAAATTTGGTTCATATGGAACATTGCACAAAGAAATAAAGTTTTAATTCGATATGATTTTTAGTGATAATTATACCATGATTACTACAACAATTAAAAAAATTCTTTTTGAATTTATAGATATACCATTTATAGTTTTAGCAAAATTAAAAGGTTCTAAACATTAATATGTTAACCTAAATATTCATAAATGTACGCAAAACATTTAAAATAATTAATAATTTTGTAAATTAAGAGGAGCTAAACCCTAAGAGGGAAGCTTTAATTCTAGAGGAGCCTTAACCCTCACATACTGAATATAACTACGGTTCGATTCAGTTCGGCTATAGAAAATTTGATTCGTATGTAACATGGCAGAAAGATTTTAATTCGAGTTGGTTAATTTTTAGTGAAAATTACCGGTTGATTGTGAGATGCTCGGTTTATTTTGGTGCATGATGTTGTATTCACATCGCGATTCCTTTTCTTACGAAGTGGACGTACTCGCGCGCTGCGCATGCATTAAGGTTTTGGTAAATTAAATTTATCCCTAATTTTAAATAAATAGCCCTAATTTTTGATTTAATATAAATAAGTTCTACTAAACCCTCACAAATGCACATAAAATATTGAATGATTTAGATATACTGTGTTACTTATGATCGATTTATTTCAATTAGTTGGATTTTCGTATCGAAAATATTGTATTTACTCAGTTCAGTTGGACAGCATAAAATTTCGTATTGTATATAATGTTGCTTAATAAAACTAAAGTGTTAATTCGACTTGATTTTTATTAAAAAAACTCAATTAATTGTGTGTAGTTAGTTAAACCTTGATCAATCAGTTTTACGGAAATATAAATTTGATTTTACAAATCTATACAAAGTACATACATTCATCTCTTTCAATGGGTTATGACCTTATAGTAATTCTTTAATATGACATCATGGATACTATAACTTGTAGACCCGGAAGTTATTCATTTATGATCGTACGTTGTTCTTAGAAAACAAAAATAATATGCTTTTAGTTGTTAAATACTCATGGAAATATATTGTTACATTGTTAGAAATCCATCACGGGCATTACAGTTCTGAGGATTAATATTATACAAACTTGATAGTTTTAAACACCATGTCGAAAAGAATCCAAAGCATTGGTAAGACATTTTCTCTAACACAAAAAAAAGTGTTTGTCGGTTGTATATTGGTCTTTCTTTGAGGATGACTTTTGGTGCAATTACAAAAATGTCAATTTTTGTGTGCACATTTGCAATAATGCCACTTAGGGGTGTWMAWWWAMAAAAATGCCACTAATTATAGATTTATAAAGCTTATATCTTAAAATTCTAAACCCTAAAAAATGTTTTGACACCTAAAATCTCCTAAACACTCAAAACTAAACCCTAATAGAACATAATTAACCCAAACATAAATAATATAAAAAATAATAATTTTGAAAAAGTGGCATTTTTGTAAAGATTTCTAAAATGTGGCATTTTTGTAAAGTGGCACTTGAAAAGTGGCATTTTTTAAAATTTCTCATGACTCTTTTTCTACAATCTTAATGAATGAAATATGGTGTTTTTCTATGTAAAAAATCCAGTTTAAGATATTTAAATTTGAATTTCGATCAATTTTTTTTTTTTTGGAGATCTGTGAATGGTAATATCAAAAGTAAGATTATAATATAAAATATGGATAGTTTGTATAGTTATGATTTTGGTTCGTATTCAAACTTTAAGCAAATATATATAAATACTATTAATTTCCAAATTCAGTCTGGTTTGGATTACTATTTACTACAATGTTTTTATTTCGAACTAGGATCGGAACTGTCTCCTTTTTTAAGAAGAAAAAATTGTTTCAATTTGGCTTTCAAAGCAGCATAAGCTTCGATGAACCATAGTCAACATAACATTACTAATGTCCACAAAAATCAGTTAAATGAACTAAAATTATTTCTCATACAAAAATCCCAGTGAGATTATCCTAACAAAACCAACGAAAACTCAAGTTTAATATTTGTTCAAAATTTCAAAAGAAACACATGAACGGATTCGACTCAATATACTCTCCACGAAATAATGCAACATAAACCTCTTTCTTCTGCAACATAAAAATATTTCGAGTTTTATGCTTTCTTTTCTTCTTGCTTCTCAAATCCCATTCCAAACCCTTGAACTTTAGAATATGCCATAAGCTCACAGCAATGTGTACACCACATAATTCAAGACCAAGATCACCTATGCGAAAAAATTACATATTTAGACAGATCATCAAAAGTTATTGAAGATAATGGCAAAGTGAGTTTAAGAAATTCATACAAATACATTTAAAATTTTTATTTAAATCCATTGACTCAAAATTTATTTTGATGTTAGCCCAAACAATATACAAAGGAGGCAAAAGGAAGGGGATCTATTCTATAGCCGATGAGAACAAATACGTAATAGAAAATTGAAACTTAGATGTTGTTATGTTACTATTCCAATGATTGATTAAGAAATATTACGCTACTTAGAATATCAAAAAAATTGAATTTGACTAATATTTTAAGCTTTGATATGTAATGATAATTTAATTCAGTCAACTATATGATAATGTATGTTAATTCTTGTACGAATATAATTGGCCATCATCGACGTGAAGCCACTGTTGGTCTTTTGTGGATCTTAGACCATCCGCATTCGTCATCTTTTGTGGATGTCTTTAAATAAACAAATATTAAAAACACACTCTCTCTTCTTTTTACTCAATTTTATACCTTCTCTTTCATTCTTTTACTCAACTTTTATTAATTTTATATTTAAATACACCCATATTCTCTCTCCAAAAGTCACTATTTATGTCTTCCTAAAGACACAATCTCTCCAACAATATCCACTATCTCCTCTCTTTACTCAAATTTTATTAATTTTATATTTCAATACACCCTATTATTTCAACCAAAAACACTCTCTTTCTTCCTTTTACTCAAATTTTAATAATTTTATATTTAAAGACATCCACATTTGTCTTCAATGCGGATGCTCTTACCATGTAAATGTCGAATGCCAACAAGTCAATATAAATTCTAGGGTAATCAAAAAGTCATGCTTGTTATGCTGAAAAATTTGCATTTGAATTTTAAAGCACACTAAGTCTGTAATAAAAAGAAATCTTCAACGCGGATTAAGATA